TCTGGCAAGTTTATGTGAGAGTCCATAGTATCGATTGGGCATCAGTGGCATGTAGGCTTTATTATGAGAAATAGAAAATCAGGATTATTTTAGCTAAAGCAATTATTTTCCTTTGATTTTAACTTGGGGGGGGAGGAGATTTATTGAAAAATCAGCTCACTTTGAAACTTCCTTAATCTCTTGAAATAGAGTTACATCATCAAAAATAAATAAATAAACATTCGTGAGGTAGAAAGGAAAGCATTCTTATTCTTCCTTCAAGGGTTGGCTGGCAAAACAACTGCCAAGGAAGAGATCTGTCACATTGGACTCGGGGCTGCAACCTCTGAGATTGATGATCCTCCACTTCTCTTCCCCCTCCTGTCACGAAAGTGATACTTCTTATATAACCAACATTTAACAACTTGGTTCTATGCTTGTACTTCACATGTTCAGAAGAACAGGTTTCTTTGGATGCAAATGATGATTTTTGGATGGAAAAGAGAAAACAAGCTTGCTTTTTAAGATCTTCAAAAATTGCTTCAATAAAATGAGTTTTGTGCATTATGACCTGCCTTCTTTCATGCTTTATTTCTTTTTCATCTTTCATTATTCTCACATAAGCTAGCAATCTTTCCTGTGGCAGGGGAGACATGTGTAACACATCATTGGTCCAAAGCTTGACTTTATTTAACAGCGATCCTGATGCATTTTTTTCATACAATATTAGTAACCTATCTTGAAATTATTATGTGAAAACTCTAAATTAGTATCGAAGGCCAGACAATTTCTAGAGTTAATATCCCAGTACTTTTGTTCTATAGTATTAAGGTGACCAACTTTTTTACAATGAAAAGGAGGACACAAATAAATTGAAGAAAAAAATATCGTAAATAAAAGAAACATTTTATTCATTGCAACAATAATACAGAATACACTATAATACGATAAATGCATAATAAAAAACATTTGTAACAATAACATTTTATATTGTAATTATGCTTACATGCCGCGCCCCCGCCCGCAGCTGCCTCACCAGCACTGCTGCCCCGCCATGTAGAGTGGACCCCACGGCTCCCAAAGCACCAGCTGTGCCGGCTCCGGTCCCGGGGGGCGGCCTGCTGTCAACATACCCCGCCTGCAGCTGCCCCATCAGCACCACCGCCCACCCTGCACAGCCCTGTGTAGAGCAGGCCACGTGGCTCCCACAGCACGGGGGGCAGTTGGCCACTGCTGCCCCTCACACCCCCGCCCACAGAGCTCCGCCGCCCCTGCCTCTTGCTCCCACAGCCCTTATTGCCCTAGCAGGGCCAAAGATCAAGAGAAAGTTACTGTGGCATCGCTGCTCCAGTCTCCTCCAGGTATCTTCAGGACTAACTAGGAGAAGGTGTAGTCGGGTAGCAGGGAGAGGTGCAAAGTTCCTGCTAATTCGTCTTCACTGCAGACAACTTACATGTGCAAAGTTTGCTGGCCAGGTGTTTTGGCATGCTCAGCAGCAATTCCTATTGGCTTTTGAAAGCCAATAGGGGGAGTAGCACAGCTCATGCAAAAGTTGAAAAAAAACCCATCAAAAAAAGGTGCTGGAACGCCGTTCTGAGCGTTCTATGAAAAAAAAAAGCCCTCAGATTAGTCTTTAAATATCAAAAAGGAGTACATGTAGGAGGACACTTTTTAAGGGTGAACAGAACTCACAAAAGGAGGACTGTCCTCTCTAAAGGAGGACAGTTGGTCACCTTAACAGTATCAGGAAAACAAATGTCTGAATTTGGAATTTGGTGGCCATTTTCCTCCCATCAGTTTACCTTTCAAATTGCAAAGTGTCCAAATAAGGAGGCAACATCAGTAGAACAAAATAGAATGACTATTTGATTTAGGGGAAAACACCTAGGGATTCAATTTCTTAAAACACTCCACCCTCCCACTATACTGCTTCTACAGTGATCTATTATATCCTGAAAATGCAGTTTACCTTTTTTATATAAATTTTATTAAAAATATTAAACAAAACGATAGAAACTAAAACAAACTAATATAAGTAAGGAAGAAGAAAAAAGAAGACGAAAGCAAAGAGAAACCAGAAAAATGCAAGAAAGGAGAAAAAATGAAGAAAAACAGAAAACAAAGAAAATGGTTTCTGGTAACTTTACAGCAGTTATAAACACAATTCTATTTTAACTTTTCTTTCTAAAATTATATCATATTGCTCTTCTTTCAATAATCTATCCTAATTATCAAAACCCTAAATCATTTTTACCCACAAATCCCATAAGAAGTTTCCAGTCACCAATAAATATAGATAAGATCTTTTCTCTAATCAAAGAAATCAATTTATCCATTTCAGTGAAATTTATCTACCAGCCATTCCTTCATAGTGGATTTTACTATAGTGGATGATGCATGCCATGATGCATCCACACCTGCAATAGACTATTGATCTATAAAACCATCTGTATCAAAATATGCACCTGAATCCAATTTTTTCTAGCTTTTTTCTCTCCTAAGCATGATAAAATGTCCCCTCATGTTGTTCACATTTCCAATATGCATTTGAAGAGTCTTGGTAGATTCTGGAACATTTTTCTGACATCAAGTACCAGTGAGACATCGTTTTATAAAAATTCTCTTTCAGTTCATAACACAATCTAAATTCAAATCTTTTAACCATATATTTTCCCACTGACCATCTGTATATTATAACCAAAATTCTTGGCCCAGTGTTTTATTGAAAAGCTCAACTGGAGGAATTTTCTCATTGAAATTTCCTGTGTAAATAAAGAGAAGCATGATTGCAGGCTGCTGGAGAGAGGATTGATGGACACAGTGGAAGATGAGGTACAAATAGGGTGTAAATAAATGAAAAATGTTGTTATACATACACTGCTGGGTTTGGCTTATGGCCATTCCCACTCTCACAGCCCTGGTCAAGAGCCATATTCAAATCATTTTCAAGCGAACATTGAGGAACAACCAGAGAGCGAATTAATTTAAAATAATAGCAAAACTTCACTACAATGTACATTTGCTCTTTCTCATACACACACACACACACACACACAGAGAGAGAGAGAGAGAGAGAGAGAGAGAGAGGGAGAGAGAGAGAGAGAGAGAGAACCACTGGTCCAAAATTATCCACATCCTTCTCGACTAGGATGGCAGGCACTCATCAGAAGCCACCGGACTTGTTCCAAAGACTTCTGAAAGAGTAGATTGGCTTGTGGACCCTTTTATCACCCAAAATCTTTGCTTGTTTGTTTTGCTTTCTTGATTGACAAGATTGGCAGCTATTCTTACCTTGTGGTTTTTCAAGTCTGGTAGCCATTGATGGGATTTTGGTGGGGGGGGGAGGTCATGTACTCAGGCCCAACTTCTTTTGTCCAGTTCAGATTATATTTATTTTCTTTTGCTTCCTTGTTGACTTGGTTCTTTCTTAACTCCCTTCCCTAAGATATGTTTTAGACAAGATTCCTAGTTTTTCTCCACCCAGCTTATGTGTCTACTTCCTCCTTAGCCATGGAAGCTTCAGCCTAGCTTCACGGTGTCCCCTCATATTTCCAAAATTTATCTACAACAAACTGTTAAAAAAGGAGGTGAAGGGGGAAGAGGAAGGAGTTTTAATTTTTATACACTGGGAACTGAGTTGAAATTTCAGTCTTTGAAATGGATTTGTTCATTTGTCATAACTTATATTTCTTTGAATGCAACTTAAAACAAATGATAATAATTTAAAACCCTGCAAAAAAGGGGCAAAATACACAAACATTCATGACAACGATTCAAATTCACTGTCCCAGTCAACAAGGAAGCAGTAAGATGCTCAAGGTCTTTCAAAAGAGAGCAGAATTGAAGTTGTGTGGATCTTGGAGAAGCCAGATTCTTGCTTCATGGGATCCAAAAGATATTACTGTTTAGGCCATATCTGAGATATGCTAATCTAATTAGATCTTATTAGATAGATCAGTGGTTCCCAACCTTTAGGGCTTGGAGGCCCAGTGGGGTGAGGGAAAAGGAACCAGCCTGCTGCTCAAACAAATCAAACTGTGTGCCTGGGTTTGTGCACCGGCCAGCTGCTCACATGGCCCGGTTCTGAACAGGCCACAGCCCAATAGTGGACCATGGCCCAGGAGTTAGGGACCACTGAGAGAGAGAGACAAAATTGGAGATGAGGCAGTCCTGCAGATGAGGTAGTCTTATGACCACGAAGGGCTCTTGCAGATAAAAACCAAAAAAACATATGGCAACTGAATTGACTTATGCCCATCCCTGCTTGTGCTGTCTACTTCTGGATTACATGTAGATTCTAAGTAGTATTTCAGGGCAGGCTATATGACGTTCACTTCAATGGCCCATACCGTGAATAAGTTACAGAATCCAGTTGCAGAATTCAGCAATTTCAGATCATGATGGAGAAAAATCTATTTGGTTACAGGGAGTTAAGACTTGATGATACATATAAAAAGGGTATAACAGCAATAAAACTAAGAAATAAAATAACAGTTCACTGGGTTATTTCAATATGTTTCATTACTCCACAAACTTCATCAGACAAAAAAATATATATACACTGAAACCAGAATAATATTGAAATGAACAAGTAGGAATCCCAACTAAAGGTTGAGTTCCCCAGAGACAGAGGAATGTCAATGGGATAGAGATCTGAAAAATCAAGAAGGCAACAGTCACCACATAATAAAAGCCTCCCAAAAGTAACTTTTTCACATACATCACATGTAAGACAAATAAAAAAGTTTGGAACTTCAGTCACACAGTTGAAACCACACTTGTTCATTGATCCAGCTTCTGTCAAGGGGCTAAAAATGCTGTCCATTATTTGTTGGTTTTGGCTTCTGATAAAATTGAAAATGATAATTATTATTTCTCTTTGATCTTTGCCCTCAGCACACCCTGCTTATCAGTCCATATTAACCTCAGATGGGGGAATTATTGCTACATACTTTGTTTACCGTCTTTCCAGAGGTGCCAGTTTCTCACGCTATGACTATAAAATCCCGTAGCTGTCCTAGAGAAGTCAGACATCATCTTCCAAGGAGCTGCAGCAATGAAGGCACTAGTGCTCGCCCTCTTCTTCCTCTTCATTGCAGCCAATGAAGCCAAAGTATACTCCAAATGTGAACTGGCTAGAATTCTGAAACGAAATGGCATGGATGGATATTACGGCTATGCCTTGGGCAACTGTGAGTTTACTCTCTTTTTCTCTCTGCCTGAGCAAGATCCAGGTTTACAAGGGGGGATCCAAAATGGGGCAGATCTTTCAAGAATAAGTTCCATCAACTTTCCCAATGAATATTTTGAATGTTCTTAGAATGAGAATACATGCTTTCTTCCCATCTCAAATGATTAGGGAAAGCTCACGCTTCTCCCAGCACTAATAAGGTGAATTTATCAAGGTGAATTTGTTGCCTGATTGGGACAATTGCAGAACAGGGATGTGGTTATACCACCTTGGTCTCTGTACTGTCTGTTTACAATTATGACTTAGTCAATATTTTATTTACAATATTTTATTTATTTACTTAAGAATAAAGGGTTATCCCTACCAGGATAAACATCCTCTCAAAGACAAGGTCTTTCAAATTCTACCAAATCATTTAAATTCAGTATACGATTGAAGGGGCCACCACAGAAAATTTTCTACATATAAAATGCACAATGAAAAAGTACCTGCTCCCAGGAAGACTGGCATTAGGAAGAGAAAAGAAAGGAGAGGTGGCTTTGTGTGCAATTAAGAACTCCAGGAATATCTTGGAGACAGGAGTCAGATTTATTCCAAGTTCCCTGAAGGTTTCCAAAATGTATTGGATTTCTTGAGTCCTTCCTTGAGGGAAGAATAAGAAGATAGTTAAGCATTGTGTTATAAATGCTCTTTTTAAAAAAAATAGGATAGCCTTTTCATTTACAGCACAGACCTTTTATAACCCATTCCCTATTTGGTTTTTTCCAGGGATCTGTATGGCTTATTATCAGAGTAGATACAACAGCCGATTTGTGGGGCCTCGAACCTCAGATGGCAATCGCGAATATGGGATTTTCCAGATAAGCAGCCGTTGGTGGTGCAACAATTACCAGGGTCCCACAGCCAATGGCTGCAATACGCCTTGCAGTGGTAAGACACCTAGTGTGACAGGCTTCCAAAATTCTGTTATTATTATGTTCTACAACACAATGAGGTAATATGTACTCTTTGTAGTTTTGGGGATGGACAGGATTGATATTGACTCATCAACACTGTCTATGAAAATTGTTTTGAGTTCCTGCCTGGATCAACAGTGATAATATCTAGCCACTATGCTTTCTGTTGGCCTCTTAGCCTTCTTCTATTTAGTGTCCTGTTACCCAACCTGCCACAACTACCCTAGATTCCTTCACACAGATGTATCTTGCTTTCTGCCTGCAGAACAGTATTACCTAAAGAGCAAAAGGCTCATGTGTGATGAGTCCCCCTGTCCCACTCACAATCTCACACTCTTCAGCTTCCTAAAGATTTCATTTTTATTATTTTTATAAACAACTCAAGGTTGCATACATACATACATTCCTTCTTTCTTTTCCTAAAACAACTTAATTCTGTGAAGTGAGTTGGGCCGAAAGGAAATGACTGGCCCAAAGTCACCCTACCTACTTTCGGTTCCAAAGTGAGACTAGAACTCACAGTCTCCTGGTTTGTAGCCTAGAATCTTAACCACTAGACTGAACAGGCTCTCCATGTGCAATGAAAAGGGTTGCTTGGTAAGAGAGTCACATGATCCTATCTTTACAGTAATTAGTCAATATCTTTCCAGAGGAACCAGTTCAAGACAGCAATTTCATCTCACTCAGTTAAGGAGCCCAATCCAGTGTTTTCTGCCCTTTGTCAGAACTTAGGATTTAAGTGAGAGAGTTCCTCTCTTGCGCCTTTCCAAGAATGCAATAATACTGTCAGGAAGTCTTCATATCCATATTCAACTCCAAAGTGAAAACAAACTCCTAGTACTCTACACTTTTCAAACTTGTTACTCTACATGGTTAGAGCAGGAGGAAAGGTATTTCATGGTTTATGCCAGCTGTTTTAAATAGTAGCTTATACTGCTAATGATATGAATGTATTGCACATGGTGCATAACTATTGATGTCCTAAAGGACATTTGGGTAAGAATCTGCTTTAAATAATAAGTTTATGCAAATCTTTGGAAATACTTTTGAAGCATCTGGAGTTGGATAAATTCTAATTTGCCTCTTTCGGCAGCTTTCCTAACTGATAACATCACAGCTGATATTGCTTGTGCTAAGAGAATTGTGCGTGATCCCCTAAGGATGAATGCCTGGTGAGTCAATCTCTCTATACTTGATCTTAGCCAAAAGGCCATTTGTAACATTGGGTAGCAACTGAACTTGTAGTCATGAAATTAAATTAAATTACTTTCTTTAGACTATTGTAAACCTTTTTAGCATTGGCAGTGAAATATACTTTCTGAATATCACAGATTGTATTTTATTGCTATACTTGCATTCTGATTGCTATAAAATATGGGTTTAGCAGTCTTTTGATTCCTGGATTTAAAGTAGCCTGAGACACAATTTAAAAGGGGGATATTGATGCTGGTTATAGCTGGATTTTTCCTTCCCAGTCATTTTACATCAATTTTGCACTTCTGTGCCTGTCAGTGGTTAAAAAATCTAGGGCTTAGTACCAAGTTGAAACAGGCAACAGAATTAGGCAGAGGGCCTTTTGAACAGCAGGATTCTAATTCCATGGATGAGCTGCATAGTATCAGAAAACTGGTAGGTAAAGAACCTAGTTTTGTGAGACGCCAGGAAAGATCATTTGTGAAGCCTCCAGTCATAGAATGAATAGTAAAGGGGGGCACAGCAGCAGATCATTAAATGGAAAACTTTTAAGCTGAGTATCTAGAAGCAAAGAATACAAATGTTATGTGATCAATAATGTGAATTATATAAAAATTATTCTGTGTGCTGTTCTAAAGAGAGTCCAAAGTATCTACTGGACATTAGTGGCATGTAAGCTTTATTGTGAAAAATAGAAAGTCAGGACTATTTTAGCTAAAACAATTATTTCAATCTGGAGGAAAGGAGATTCATTTAAACAACTAAGAAAAGAACTTTATTAGTCAATAAACAGGAAAGGCGAATGAGTGATAGTTGCCACTAGCTCACGGAGACATTTCCTGAATCTCTCCAAGTAGAATTACATCATCTGAAAAATGTTTTTAAAACTACCACATATGAGATCTATAAAGATATGAATTATGCTTATTTTTATTCTTATTCCTTTCTTAAGGGCTGGCTGGAAAAAGCACTGCAAAGGAACAAATCTGTCAAAATGGACCAGTGGTTGTCGACTCTGAGATTGATGATCCTGCATTTCTCTTCCTCCTCCTGTGATGAAAATGATATTATTTCTTATATAACCACACTGAACAGTTTAATTCTATGCCTGCATTCTACATATTGGGAAGAATGAGTTTGTTTGCACACAAACAATGATTTTTAAATGGTTTCTGGGTGGAAAAGAGGGAAAGACCTTGCTTTTTAAAATCTTCAAAAATTGCTTCAATAAAAAGAGCATTGTGCATTATGCCTTTTTCTGTTTCATGCTTTATTTTCTTTCATCCTTCATTATTCCAATGTAATTGAACTGGCTACCAATCATTCTTATGGCAGAGCAAATTTGCCAATGGTAAATGTCTATGGAGATTATCAGTCATCCAGGTCATGGTTGTCCCAAAGATGCTTTTTCACGAGGCAACTGGAATTGCTTGTTTTTCTTTGAAGACGTTTCACTTCGCATCCAAGAAGCTTCTTCAGCTCTGACTGGATGGTGGGGAATGGAAAAATTTATACTCCTTGCAGACAGCTGTTCATTAGCATTCTTTTGCCAATGGTAGATTGGCATACAAGGCCAGAGAAATTCTACCGTTTACATCCAGTTATATTAAAGCTTGGTTTTTGTTCTACGGTAAAAAAAAACTGATCTGCAAATTTAAAAGTTGGTGGCTATCTTCCTCCCATCAGTTTACTTGCCAAATACCAGAGCATTCAAACAAGACAGCAACATCAGCAGGTTAATGACACAGACCAAATTATTGTGATTTTTGCTGTTCCAAAGACCTTTTTGCATCTCTTCTCAAATTCTAGATATGCTAGTTTGCTAAATCTAGTCTACTTTGTACATCCTCAGTTCCAGGACACACAATAAATCATGGTCCAGTTGTGATACCTGCACATGCAGAAAGTTGAGAGACTGCTGGATACTCTGTTCAAGTAAACATATGGACAAACCCTCAAGAAGCAGATGACACAAAAAGCTAATGGCAGCTCCTGGCTAACTTGGGGAATACTAAGCAAGATTCAGCCTACAGAATCTCCCAGTTTGTAATAATTTCAAGCAGAAAGAATCCACACTCTTTTGTGTATATCTCACTCAATGGGAATTGACACACTGGATTTTAATAAGAACTGAGGGCCAAGCAATACTGTATTTGAAGAAACTAGCATAAGGAGGATTCAGTTTTTTTAATTTCAGCAGGGACTAGATAAGTCTTCAGTCAAAATTTCCCATAACCACTTGCAGGTCCATTTTGTTCCCAAAGATCTCCAAAGCCGTGCCTCAGAAATTCAGGAGCACTGAGGGTTCTTGTCAGGGGTTTTGAAATCAGAAAAGTAACCTATAACTTCAGAGGTAGGTATAAATTATACAAGTTATGTACCGTATATGCCGGTATACAAAGTGACCCGGCGTATAAGACGACCCCCGTCTTTGTCGCCGAGTTGCCTTCCTAGAACATCGTCTTATACGCCGGAAACTACCAGTATTTCCGGCGTATAAGACGACTCGGCGTATAAGATGACCCCTGTCTTTGACGCCGATTTTAACGCTTGCGGAAGTAGCTTTATACGCCGGCCTATACGGTATTTATGGTGAAATAATGGAACAAGTAGATGGATGTACCTTGGTAGAATATTTACTAACGATGAGAAAAAAGATAGAGGTTGTTTAGCCGATAGAAAGCTAATGTGTAGCATGTAGTCTATTGAGGGGATTATATATTTATTGATATAAGCAGAAAGATTTTGTAAGGTCCCAGTCCCTTACTTAAACTTGAGGTATTATATCAATCTAACCAGATAACCCAAGTGAAAACTTCTTGATCAAGCAGGACTTTATTTGATCAAATTAAGCAGCTGGGTGGCCAACAATCTGGAATGCTGGCAGAGCTATGTCCAGAAGTGCCATGTCTTAAAAAGTTGGTAGCATTGCTTTATAAAGTTTGTTAGCCAATGAAAATCAGACAACAGAGCCATTACATCATAAGAAAGACATCAATCATTCCTGTACACTCCCTTATTCCCTTCTTCAGTATATCACATCCAGGGCTTTTTTTTGTCATAGAACACCCAGAACGGAGTTCCGGCACCTTTTTTGGATGGAACCTTGTAGGGTAGGTAAGGCGGGTTGTATGACGTGTGTGAGTTCTGGCACCTTTTTTTTTAAAAAAAAAAAAGCACTGATCACATCCATTTACATGTTTCCCAAGCTTACATGAGATGTCTCTGGTGCAAAAGTTGATTACAAAAAGCAAGAAAGCAAGTTAGACTAAACAATTTCCCTTTGTTCCAGAACCCTTCAATTTGTATGGAAGAATGTTTCTGTTCATTTTAATACGTGGAACTGAGGGTTGGAGACATGAAATTAATCTCAGTGCAGCAGGAATGCTAACCTGAAGTACCTCTGTTAACAATTTCATGGTGAGATAAGATCAGGAAAGCATGAGTGACAGAAGGCATGTGGGTTGACTGCACCAGTGAGTGACCATTACAAAGTACATGGTAATGTGTTGTTTGTCCATCGATTTCGATGAGGACCTTGATAACTTGTAGATTATGGGCCATCAACGATGTGTCCGTAGGTGGCTGATAAGACCGATGTTAGCCCGGAATGTTCTACCACATACTGAACAAAGAAATGTAGATACTGTTACTTCAGCATTTACAGCTCTGGCTTTGCGGAGTGCTCGCTTCTCTTGTGCCAAGATTGTCCTTCTGTGTTCATATGTCTGACAACCCTGGTACACCAAGGTGCGCCATGTTGGTCGATCATGCGCCAGAAGTTCCCAAGAGTTGGTGTTAATATCCAGGGACCTGAGAGAGGCTTTCAGCGTGTCTTTGTATCACTTCTTTTGTCCCCCGTGCGATCTTTTTCCTTGAGACAGCTCACCATGTGTTTAGCTATTTAGGGATGCGATGATCTGGCATCCTTACAACATGACCTGCCCAGCACATCTGGGCTTTCATCAACAGAGTGTAAATTGATGATAGGCCTGCTCTGGAGAGGACATCTGTATCTGGTATCTTATCCTGCCACCGGATCCTCAGAATTCTACGAAGGCAAGTCATGTGGAAGTAGTTCAGTTACCTAACATGCCTCCTGTACACTGTCCTGGTCTCACTAGCATACATCAGGGTAGTTAGCATTGCTGCCTGGTAAACTTTAAGCTTAGTAGCAAGGCTTATTCCACAGCAGTCCCACACATTAGTTCGCAATCTGCCAAATGCAGAACGGTAATGTACTTTGATTTGGGTGGGTGATTTGTTCATAAAGAGACAATGAATGAGGATCAACTGCAAAATTTTAAGGAAATGTACTTGCCCAGAGAGCTTGTAGAAACCAGCAACAATTATAATTCATGCTTATTTGAGCTGACAATGTTAGGACATTAGATCTAGAGACTTAAAACCCATTCCTATTTATCAACTGCATGTCAGAAAGATGGCTGAAAGAGAAAGACTGGCCCAAGATAACCCAGGACTGGGACTGAGTCTCCTGGTTTCAGATCAGATTAATAAAATCCATCTACACGGTCATGGAATCTGGATAAAGACTTGATGACTCGTCCAAGAATTGTAAAATGGCAATAAAACCAAGAAATAAAATAGAATTCACTGGGTTATTTCAATATGTTTTCATTACTCCACATCATTACAAACAAAAAAACATACATTAAAACCAGAGTTGTATTGAAACAAACAAATAGAAACGTCAAACAAGTGTCAGATGCCCCAGAGAGAAAAGAATGACTTCAGGACAAGGGTCCGAAAAGTCAAAGCTGCAGTCAACACTTAGTAAAGGTCCTGTTCCTATTTCACATATATCACATGCGAGACACATTAAAGAATTGGGGCTTCAATCACACAGTTGAAACCACCACTTGTTCATTTCTAGCACCTCTCATACAGATTCTCTTGATCCAGAATCTATCCAGTGGCTAAAATGCCCTTCCCAACCACTATTAGTTGAGTTTAATCTTCCGATGAAATTGAAAATGGCAATTATTTCTTTCTCCTTTTTGAAAATGGGAACTACATCAGCTCTGTTCCAGTCCTCTGATAGTTCTCTTTGATCTTTCTCTCAGCACTCCCTGCTTCTTACTCTAAAATAACTTCAGATAGGGAATAATTGCTACATACTTTGTTTGGCAGCTCTCCAGAGGTGCCAGTTCCTCAAGCTCTGACTATAAAACCCAGTAGCCATCCTGGAGAAGTCAGACATTGTCTTCCAAGGAGCCGACAACAATGAAGGCTTTAGTGCTCACCCTCCTCTTCCTCCTCATTGCATGCAGTGAAGCCAAAATATACACCAAATGTGAACTGGCTTCAAGTCTGAAACAAAATCGCATGGATGGATATTTTGGCTACAGCTTGGGCAACTGTAAGTTTACTCTCTCTTTCTCTCTATTTGAGCAAGATCCAGATTTCCAAGAGGGAGGCCAAATGGAGCAGATCTTTTCAAGAATAACTTCAAGCAGCCCTTTTTAATGTTCTTAGAACAAGGAGATATGCTTTCTTCTTGACCCAAATGACTGGGAAGACCTCACACACCACCTGCAATAATACTCTCATTCTTACGACGCTGATCAATCTCTGGTTTGTTGCCTGATTGAGACAACTGCAGAACTGAGGTATGGTTATACCGCCTTGGTATATTGTCTTTTTACAATTATGGCTTAGCCCACATTTTATTTACTCTCTTAAGAATAAGAGATAGCCCTGTCAGGATCAGCATCCTCTCAAAAGTTAGATATTTCAAATTCCACCAAATCATTTAAATTCCATATACTACTGAAGTAGCCATCACAGAAGATTTTCTACATGTGCAGTTTGGCAGAAGATGCACAATAAAAATGTACCTCTTGCCTGGAAGGCTGGAATTAAGAAGAGGGGAGAAAGGAGAGGTGGCTTTATGTGTCCTTAAGAATTCCAGGAATATCTTGGAGACAAGTATCAGATTTATTCCAAATTTCCCTGAAGGTTTCCAAAATGTTTTGGAGGTCTTGTGACCTTCCTTGGTTGTGGAAAGGATGAGAAGATGGTTAAAAATTGTGTTTTAAATATTCTATTTAAAAAATCAGGATAGCTGTTTCATTTATAACATTGGTCTTTTATAGCCCATTCTCCATTTGCTTTCTTCTAGGGATCTGTCTTGCTTTTCATGCGAGCAAGTACAACACCCATCTTGTGATTGGGCCAAACAAGGATCGCGGTAGCAACTATGGGATATTCCAGATAAACAGCCGCTATTGGTGCAAAAGTAACCAGGGCCCTACAAATAATCTCTGTCATAAGCCTTGCAGTGGTAAGACACGTCTGTCAAAGCTTTGACATACTTTCAAAATTCTGTTCTTATAATGCTCTACAACACAAGGAGGTAGTGTGCCTGTACACCCCTTGTAGTGCTGGTTTCAGGATCTGATTTACTATGTCAATAATAATAATAATAATAAAGTTGGAAGGGACCTTGGAGGTCATCTAGTCCAACCCCCCACTCACGCAGGAAACCCTATACCATTTCGGACAAATGGCTGTCCAGTCTGTTCTTAAAAACTTCCAGTGTTGGAGCATTCACCGCTTCTGGAGGCAGGTTGTTCCACTGGTTAATTGTTCTGTCAGGAAGTTTCTCCTTAGCTTCTCTCCTTGATTAGTTTCCACCCATTGCTTCTTGTCCTGCCTTCAGGCGCTTTGGAAAATAGCTTGACTCCCTCTTCTTTGTGGCAGCCCCTGAGATATTGGAACACTGCTATCATGTCCCCCCCTTATCCTTCTCTTCTTTAAACTAGACATACCCAATTCCAGTAGCCGTTCTTTATATATCAAATCAAAATTTTGTAGGGATATTCTAGTCCTTCTTTTTCTCCTTTGTTGCTCTCTATAGGGGATTGCTCTCCATGAGAATTGACAAGGAATCACCAACACTGTCTCTCAAACTTGTTTTGAGTTGATGTTTGGGTCAACGGTGTTCATATCTAGCCACTGTGTTTTCAGGCCTCTTAGCCTTCTTCTGTTTAGTATCCTGCTACCCAACTTGTCACAACTACTCTAAATTCCTTCACACAGGTGTATCTTGCTTTCTGTTCCCAGAACATCCACCAGAGTACTATCTAAAGAGCAAAAGGCTCATATGTGGTCAGGTCCCGCTGTAAACCCACATTAACAATCTCACACTCTCTTCAGTGCTTCCTACAGATTTTTTTTTATACCACACTTTTATTATTTTTATAAACAACTCAAGGTTCGGTACTTACCTAATATTCCTTCCTCCTTCTCCTCCTGTTTTACTTAAAAGAACTTAAATCTCTGAAGTGAGTTGGGCTGAGGGGCTGTAACTGGCCCAAAGTCACCCAACCAGCTCTCATTTCCAGGGTGAGACTAGGGCTCACAGTCTCCTGGTGTGTAGCAGGGAGCCTTACCACGAGACCAGGGGTCTTCAAACTCAGCTGCAGGCACACTGGTTGAGGAATTCTGGGAGTTGAAGTCCATGAGTCATAAAAGGGCCAAGTTTGAAGACCCCTGCACTAGACTAACCTGGGTTTCCATGTGCAATGCAAAGGGTTGCTTGATAAAAGAGCCACCTGATCCTGTCTTCACTGTAATTAGTCAATCTCTTGCTTGAAGCACAAGTTAAAGGCAACAATATAAGCTCCAGAATCCCACCCAACTAAGGAACCTGATCCTATGTTTTCTGCCCTTTGCCAGAGAAATCTGATTCTTGGACACAGGTGAAAGATTTCTTCTCTCATTCCTTTCCAAGAGTGCAATGAGACTGTTGGGAAGTCAGCATATCCAGCATATTCAGCCCTACAGCTAAAACCGATTAGTGGTCCATTACACTTTTCAGAGTTATTACTCTGCATGGTTAGAGCATGAGAAGAGGCAGTTAATGGTCTACACCAGCTGTGTAAAAAAATAGGTTATACCATTCAGGACATGAATGTATTGCATAATGTATCTAACTAATGAAATCCTATCATTAAAGGGTCCATTGGGTAAGAATCTGCTTTAAATAATAAGTTTATGCAAATCTTTGGAAATACTTTTGAAGCATCTGGAGTTGGATAAATTCTAATTTGCCTCTTTCGGCAGCTTTCCTAACTGATAACATCACAGCTGATATTGCTTGTGCTAAGAGAATTGTGCGTGATCCCCTAAGGATGAATGCCTGGTGAGTCAATCTCTCTATACTTGATCTTAGCCAAAAGGCCATTTGTAACATTGGGTAGCAACTGAACTTGTAGTCATGAAATTAAATTAAATTACTTTCTTTAGACTATTGTAAACCTTTTTAGCATTGGCAGTGAAATATACTTTCTGAATATCACAGATTGTATTTTTATTGCTACACTTGCATTCTGATTGCTGTAAAATATGGGTTTAGCAGTCTTTTGATTCCTGAATTTAAAATAACCTGAGACACAATTTAAAAGGGGGATATTGATGCTGGTTATAGCTGGATTATTCCTTCCCAGTCATTTTATATCTATTTTGCACTTCTGTGCCTGTCAGTGGTTAAAAAATCTAGGGCTTAGTACCAAGTTGAAACAGACAGCAGAATTAGGCAGAGGGCCTTTTGAACAGCAGGATTCTAATTCCATGGATGAGCTGCATAGTATCAGAAAACTGGTAGGTAAAGAACCTAGTTTTGTGAGACGCCAGGAAAGATCATTTGTGAAGCCTCCAGTCATAGAATGAATAGTAAAGGGGGGCACAGCAGCAGATCATTAAATGGAAAACTTTTAAGCTGAGTATCTAGACGCAAAGAATACAAATGTTATGTGATCAATAATGTGAATTATATAAAAATTATTCTGTGTGCTGTTCTAAAGAGAGTCCAAAGTATCTACTGGACATTAGTAGCATGTAAGCTTTATTGTGAAAAATAGAAAGTCAGGACTATTTTAGCTAAAACAATTATTTCAATCTGGAGGAAAGGAGATTCATTTAAACAACTAAGAAAAGAACTTTATTAGTCAATGAACAGGAAAGGCGAATGAGTGATAGTTGCCACTAGCTCACGGAGACATTTCCTGAATCTCTCCAAGTAGAATTACATCATCTGAAAAATGTTTTTAAAACTACCACATATGAGATCTATAAAGATATGAATTATGCTTATTTTTATTCTTATTCCTTTCTTAAGGGTTGGCTGGAAAAAGCACTGCAAAGGAACAAATCTGTCAAAATGGACCAGTGGTTGTCGACTCTGAGATTGATGATCCTGCATTTCTCTTCCTCCTCCTGTGATGAAAATGATATTATTTCTTATATAACCACACTGAACAGTTTAATTCTATGCCTGCATTCTACATATTGGGAAGAATGAGTTTGTTTGCACACAAACAATGATTTTTAAATGGTTTCTGGGTGGAAAGGAGGGAAAGACCTTGCTTTTTAAAATTTTCAAAAATTGCTTCAATAAAAAAAGCATTGTGCATTATGCCTTTTTCTGTTTCATGCTTTATTTTCTTTCATCCTTCATTATTCCAATGTAATTGAACTGGCTACCAATCATTCTTATGGCAGAGCAAATTTGCCAATGGTAAATGTCTATGGAGATTATCAGTCATCCAGGTCATGGTTGTCCCAAAGATGCTTTTTCACGAGGCAACTGGAATTGCTTGTTTTTCTTTGAAGACATTTCACTTCGCATCCAAGAAGCTTCTTCAGCTCTGACTGGATGGTGGGGAATGGAAAAATTTATACTCCTTGCAGACAGCTGTTCATTAGCATTCTTTTGCCAATGGTAGATTGGCATACAAGGCCAGAGAAATTCTACCGTTTACATCCAGTTATATTAAAGCTTGGTTTTTGTTCTACGGTAAAAAAAAACTGATCTGCAAATTTAAAAGTTGGTGGCTATCTTCCTCCCATCAGTTTACTTGCCAAATACCAGAGCATTCAAACAAGACAGCAACATCAGCAGGTTAACGACACAGACCAAATTATTGTGATTTTTGCTGTTCCAAAGACCTTTTTGCATCTCTTCTCAAATTCTAGATATGCTAGTTTGCTAAATCTAGTCTACTTTGTACATCCTCAGTTCCAGGACACACAATAAATCATGGTCCAGTTGTGATACCTGCACATGCAGAAAGTTGAGAGACTGCTGGATACTCTGTTCAAGTAAACATATGGACAAACCCTCAAGAAGCAGATGACACAAAAAGCTAATGGCAGCTCCTGGCTAACTTGGGGAATACTAAGCAAGATTCAGCCTACAGAATCTCCCAGTTTGTAATAATTTCAAGCAGAAAGAATCCACACTCTTTTGTGTATATCTCACTCAATGGGAATTGACACACTGGATTTTAATAAGAACTGAGGGCCAAGCAATACTGTATTTGAAGAAACTAGCATAAGGAGGATTCAGTTTTTTAATTTCAGCAGGGACTAGATAAGTCTTCAGTCAAAATTTCCCATAACCACTTGCAGGTCCTTTTTGTTCCCAAAGATCACCAAAGCCGTGCCTCAGAAATTCAGGAGCACTGAGGGTTCTTGTCAGGGGTTTTGAAATCAGAAAAGTAACCTATAACTTCAGAGGTAGGTATAAATTATACAAGTTATGTACCGTATATGCCGGCGTACAAGGTGACCCGGTGTATAAGACGACCCCCGTCTTTGTCGCTGAGTTGCCTTCCTAGAACATCGTCTTATACGCCGGAAACTACCAGTATTTCCGGCGTATAAGACGACTCGGCGTATAAGATGACCCCTGTCTTTGACGCCGATTTTAACGCTTGCGGAAGTAGCTTTATACGCCGGCCTATACGGTATTTATGGTGAAATAATGGAACAAGTAGATGGATGTACCTTGGTAGAATATTTACTAACGATGAGAAAAAAGATAGAGGTTGTTTAGCCGATAGAAAGCTAATGTGTAGCATGTAGTCTATTGAGGGGATTATATATTTATTGATATAAGCAGAAAGATTTTGTAAGGTCCCAGTCCCTTACTTAAACTTGAGGTATTATATCAATCTAACCAGATAACCCAAGTGAAAACTTCTTGATCAAGCAGGACTTTATTTGATCAAATTAAGCAGCTGGGTGGCCAACAATCTGGAACGCTGGCAGAGCTATGTCCAGAAGTGCCATGCCTTAAAAAGTTGGTAGCATTGCTTTATAAACTTTGTTAGCCAATGAAAATCAGACAACAGAGCCATTACATCATAAGAAAGACATCAATCATTCCTGTACACTCCCTTATTCCCCTCTTCAGTATATCACATCCAGGGCTTTTTTTTGTCATAGAACACCCAGAACGGAGTTCCGGCACCTTTTTTGGATGGAACCTTGTAGGGTAGGTAAGGCGGGTTGTATGACGTGTGTGAGTTCTGGCACCTTTTTTTTAAAAAAAAAAAGCACTGATCACATCCATTTACATGTTTCCCAAGCTTACATGAGATGTCTCTGGTGCAAAAGTTGATTACAAAAAGCAAGAAAACAAGTTAGACTAAACAATTTCCCTTTGTTCCAGAACCCTTCAATTTGTATGGAAGAATGTTTCTGTTCATTTTAATACGTGGAACTGAGGGTTGGAGACATGAAATTAATCTCAGTGCAGCAGGAATGCTAACCTGAAGTACCTCTGTTAACAATTTCATGGTGAGATAAGATCAGGAAAGCATGAGTGACAGAAGGCATGTGGGTTGACTGCACCAGTGAGTGACCATTACAAAGTACATGGTAATGTGTTGTTCGTCCATCGATTTCGATGAGGACCTTGATATCTTGTAGATTATGGGCCATCAACGATGTGTCCGTAGGTGGCTAATAAGACCGACGTTAGCCCGGAATGTTCTACCACATACTGAACAAAGAAATGTAGACACTGTTACTTCAGCATTTACAGCTCTGGCTTTGCGGAGTGCTCGCTTCTCTTGTGCCAAGATTGTCCTTCTGTGTTCATATGTCTGACAACCCTGGTACACCAAGGTGCGCCATGTTGGTCGATCATGCACCAGAAATTCCCAAGAGATGGTGTTAATATCCAGGGACTTGAGAGAGGCTTTCAGCGTGTCTTTGTATTGCGTCTTTTGTCCCTCGTGCAATCGTTTTCCTTGAGACAGCTCACCATAGAAGAGCTGTTTAGGGATGCGATGATCTGGCATCCTTACAACATGATCTTCCCAGCACATCTGGGCTTTCATCAACAGAGTGTAAATTGATGATAGACCTGCTCTGGAGAGGACATCTGTATCTGGTATCTTATCCTGCCACCGGATCCTCAGAATTCTACGAAGGCAAGTCATGTGGAAGTAGTTCAGTTACCTAACATGCCTCCTGTACACTGTCCTGGTCTCACTAGCATACATCAGGGTAGTTAGCACTGCTGCCTGGTAAACTTTAAGCTTAGTAGCAAGGCTTATTCTACGGCAGTCCTACACATTAGTTCGCAATCTGCCAAATGCAGAACGGTAATGTACTTTGATTTGGGTGGGTGATTTGTTCATAAAGAGACAATGAATGAGGATCAACTGCAAAATTTTAAGGAAATGTACTTGCCCAGAGAGCTTGTAGAAACCAGCAACAATTATAATTCATGCTTATTTGAGCTGACAATGTTAGGACATTAGATCCAGAGACTTAAAACCCATTCCTATTTATCAACTGCATATCAGAAAGATGGCTGAAAGAGAAAGACTGGCCCAAGATAACCCAGGACTGGGACTGAGTCTCCTGGTTTCAGATCAGATTAATAAAATCCATCTACACGGTCATGGAATCTGGATAAAGACTTGATGACTCGTCCAAGAATTGTAAAATGGCAATAAAACCAAAAAATAAAATAGAATTCACTGGGTTATTTCAATATATTTTCATTACTCCCCATCATTACAAACAAAAAAACATACACTAAAACCAGAGTTGTATTGAAACAAACAAATAGAAACGTCAAACAAGTGTCAGATGCCCCAGAGAGAGAAGAATGACTTCAGGACAAGGGTCCGAAAAGTCAAAGCTGCAGTCAACACTTAGTAAAGGTCCTGTTCCTATTTCACATATATCACATGCGAGACACATTAAAGAATTGGGGCTTCAATCACACAGTTCAAACCACCACTTGTTCATTTCTAGCACCTCTCATACAGATTCCCTTGATCCAGAATCTATCCAGTGGCTAAAATGCCCTTCCCAACCACTATTAGTTGAGTTTAATCTTCCGATGAAATTGAAAATGGCAATTATTTCTTTCTTCTTTTTGAAAATGGGAACTACATCAGCTCTGTTCCAGTCCTCTGATAGTTCTCTTTGATCTTTCTCTCAGCACTCCCTGCTTCTTACTCTAAAATAACTTCAGATAGGGAATAATTGCTACATACTTTGTTTGGCAGCTCTCCAGAGGTGCCAGTTCCTCAAGCTCTGACTATAAAACCCAGTAGCCATCCTGGAGAAGTCAGACATTGTCTTCCAAGGAGCCGACAACAATGAAGGCTTTAGTGCTCACCCTCCTCTTCCTCCTCATTGCATGCAGTGAAGCCAAAATATACACCAAATGTGAACTGGCTTCAATTCTGAAACAAAATCGCATGGATGGATATTTTGGCTACAGCTTGGGCAACTGTAAGTTTACTCTCTCTTTCTCTCTATTTGAGCAAGATCCAGATTTCCAAGAGGGAGGCCAAATGGAGCAGATCTTTTCAAGAATAACTTCAAGCAGCCCTTTTTAATGTTCTTAGAACAAGGAGATACACTTTCTTCTTGACCCAAATGACTGGGAAGACCTCACACACCACCTGCAATAATACTCTCATTCTTATGACGCTGATCAATCTCTGGTTTGTTGCCTGATTGGGACAACTGCAGAACTGAGGTATGGTTATACCGCCTTGGTATATTGTCTTTTTACAATTATGGCTTAGCCCACATTTTATTTACTCTCTTAAGAATAAGAGATATCCCTGTCAGGATCAGCATCCTCTCAAAAGTTAGATATTTCAAATTCCACCAAATCATTTAAATTCCATATACAACTGAAGTAGCCATCACAGACTATTTTCTACATGCGCAGTTTGGCAGAAGATGCACAATAAAAATGTACCTCTTGCCTGGAAGGCTGGAATTAAGAAGAGGGGAGAAAGGAGAGGTGGCTTTATGTGTCCTTAAGAATTCCAGGAATATCTTGAAGACAAGTATCAGATTTATTCCAAATTTCCCTGAAGGTTTCCAAAATGTTTTGGAGGTCTTGTGACCTTCCTTGGTTGTGGAAAGGATGAGAAGATGGTTAAACATTGTGTTTTAAATATTCTATTTAAAAAATCAGGATAGCTGTTTCATTTATAACACTGGTCTTTTATAGCCCATTCTCCATTTGCTTTCTTCTAGGGATCTGTCTTGCTTTTCATGCGAGCAAGTACAACTCCCATCTTGTGATTGGGCCAAACAAGGATCGCGGTAGCAACTATGGGATATTCCAGATAAACAGCCACTATTGGTGCAAAAGTAACCAGGGCCCTACAAATAATCTCTGTGATAAGCCTTGCAGTGGTAAGACATGCCTGTCAAAGCTTTGACATACTTTCAAAATTCTGTTCTTATAATGCTCTACAACAGCGGTTCTCAACCTTTGGGTCGCGACCCCATTTGGGGTCGAATGACCATTTTACGGGGGTCACCAAACAACGCGATCCGCCATTTTTTTCCCTCAGGGGCGCCGCCTGCAATGGCAGGGATAGAGGGAGCTAAGTGTAGTTATGGTTCCAGTTTTTATTTTTTAAAAAATAATATTTTTGACTTTAAAACAGTAACAATAACAAAGTTGGAAGGGACCTTGGAGGTCATCTAGTCCAACCCCCCACTCATGCAGGAAACCCTATACCATTTCGGACAAATGGCTGTCCAGTCTCTTCTTTAAAACTTCCAGGGTTGGAGCATTCACCGCTTCTGGAGGCAGGTTGTTCCACTGGTTAATTGTTCTGTCAGGAAGTTTCTCCTTAGCTTCTCTCCTTGATTAGTTTCCACCCATTGCTTCTTGTCCTGCCTTCAGGCGCTTTGGAAAATAGATTGACTCCCTCTTCTTTGTGGCAGCCCCTGAGATATTGGAATACTGCTATCATGTCCCTCCCTCATCCTTTTCTTCTTTAAACTAGACATACCCAATTCCAGTAGCCGTTCTTTATATATCAAATCAAAATTTTGTAGGGATATTCTAGTCCTTTTTCTCCTTTGTTGCTCTCTATAGGGGATTGCTCTTCATGAGAATTGACAAGGAATCACCAACACTGTCTCTCAAACTTGTTTTGAGTTGCTGTTCGGGTCAACGGTGTTCATATCTAGCCACTGTGTTTTCAGGCCTCTTAGCCTTCTCCTGTTTAGTATCCTGCTACCCAACTTGTCACAACTACTCTAAATTCCTTCACACAGATGTATCTTGCTTTCTGTTCCCAGAACATCCACCACTGTATTATCTAAAGAGCAAAAGGCTCATATGTGGTCAGGTCCCGCTGTAAACCCACATTAACAATCTCACACTCTCTTCAGTGCTTCCTACAGATTTTTTTTTTATACCACACTTTTATTATTTTTATAAACAACTCAAGGTTGGGTACTTACCTAATATTTCTTCCTCCTTCTCCTCCTGTTTTACTTAAAAGAACTTAAATCTCTGAAATGAGTTGGGTTGAGGGGATGTAAACTGGCCCAAAGTCACCCAACCAGCTCTCATTTCCAAGGTGAGACTAGAGCTCACAGTCTCCTGGTGTGTAGCAGGGAGCCTTACCACGAGACCAGGGGTCTTCAAACTCAGCTGCAGGCACACTGGTTGAGGAATTCTGGGAGTTGAAGTCCATGAGTCATAAAAGGGCCAAGTTTGAAGACCCCTGCACTAGACTAACCTGGGTTTCCATGTGCAATGCAAAGGGTTGCTTGATAAAAGAGCCACCTGATCCTGTCTTCACTGTAATTAGTCAATATCTTGCTTGAAGCACAAGTTAAAGGCAACAATATAAGTTTCAGAATCCCAGCCAATTAAGGAACCTGATCCTGTGTTTTCTGCCCTTTGCCAGAGAAATCTGGTTCTTGGACACAGGTGAAAGATTTCTTCTCTCATTCCTTTCCAAGAGTGCAATGAGACTGTTGGGAAGTCAGCATATCCAGCATATTCAGCCCTACAGCTAAAACCGATTAGTGGTATATTACACTTTTCAGAGTTATTACTCTGCGTGGTTAGAGCATGAGAAGAGGCAGTTAATGGTCTACACCATAGGTTATACCATTCAGGACATGAATGTATTGCATAATGTATCTAACTAATGAAATCCTATCATTAAAGGGTCCATTGGGTAAGAATCTGCTTTAAATAATTTTATGCAAATCTTTGGAAATACCATGGAAACATCTGGAATTGGACAAATTTGCCTCTTTCTGCAGCTTTCATAGATGATGACATCACAGATGATATTGCTTGTGCTAAGAAAATGATGCGTGGTGAACATAAAATGTGTATCTGGTGAGTCAATCTCTTATTAACATCTTCCACATGGAGCATTGGGTAGCAACAGAACTTGTAGTTGTGAAAGTTAATTGCCTTTCTTTAGACTATTGTACAATTTTTAGCATGGGTGGTAAAATATACTTTCTGAATATGACAAGATGCACTTCTTTTGCTATACTTGCATTCTGGTTGCTTTAAAATATGGATTTATCTTTTGAACCCAGGTTTAATGGTAGACTAAGACACAATACTAAGACCTGGCAGGGAGAGGCTGTTGTTGATGATTATTCCTTCTCAGTGATTTCACATACATTATCCACCTATGTGCTTTAAAATCTGGGATTTATTACCCAGTAGGGACAGGTTGCAAAAGAATATGGCAGATGGCCTTTTAAACACCAGGATTCTGATCCCAGGGATGAGCTCCCTAGGATCAGAGAAGTGGATATGTAAACATCGTAATAGTGAGAGAAACAAGGAGAGATCATTCATGAAGCCACCAAGTCATAGGATTAATAGGAACCACCACTGCAGAAGCAGATCATTAGATGGAAAACTCTTAAGCCAGCAATCAGCATTTAAAAGCAAATCATAAAGACATTATGTAGTCAACAGTTGAGTTATCTAACAGTTACTCTGCTGTGTGCCCTTCTGAGACACTCTAAGGTTTTGGGCAGTGTTTTATGACCCCTCTGGTGCTCGCCCAATACTTCAGTCCCCACTGGCATGGACTCTATCAAGGTTATGTGGGAGTCCAAATTATCTATTGGGCATCAGTGGCATCTATTTCTGACTTTATTGTCAAAAATAAAAAGTGAAAACTATTTTAGCTATAACAATTATTGAAATCTGGGGAAATGAGATTAATTTAAATAACTAAGAAAATTATCAGTCAATGAAGAGGAAAGATGAATGAATGATAGTTGCAACTAGCTAACTTTGAATCTCCCCTATTAGACTGAAGTTTTCAAAGAAAGAACTATACGTGCGGTCTAGAAAGACATGCATTATGTTTATTTTTATTCTTATTCCTTTTTTAAGGCCGCCCTGGAAGAAAAGCTGCAAAGGAACGAATGTGTCAAAATGGAGCAAAGACTGCACCCTGTGAAATTCGTGATCCTGTATTTCTCTTCCTCCTCCTGTAATGAAAGTGATATTATTCCTCCTATAAACCCAGTTTGATTCTATGCCTGTACTCCACACATTGAGAAGAATGAATTTTTTTGCACACAAACCATGAGTTCTAAATGGCTTCTGGATAGAAAAGAGGGAAAGACCTTGCTTTTTAAAATCTTCAAAAATAGCTTCCATAAAATGAGTATTGTGCATTATGCCCTTCCCTGTTTCATGTTTTATTTCCTTTTCATCCTTCATTATTCTGAAATGATTGAACTGCCTACGAATCATTCTTACTGCAGAGCAGATGTATGCAACCAATTATGTCGGTGATGGCAAACCTTTTAGAGACTGAGTGCCCAAACTAAAACCCAAAATCCACTTATTTATCGCAAAGTGCCAACACAGCAATTTAACCTGAATACTGAAGTTTTAGTTTAGAAAAAACAACTCATACATTAATCTCTTTTGTCTTAAAAGAAAAACACAATAACAAAACTTTCAATGATACAAACAACTTTTTATTGAAAGGTAGAAGTTTGCATTTGGCATGCTTTTGAACAATTAATGTGATTTTTCCTGTTGTATGCATGCTGATAATTTGTCTAGCCTTGGCTCATACTTTGTAAGTTTGAGAGCAACACATACACCACTCAGGTCATCTGTTAGTCTGTTTTTGCTGTCAGATTTGATATAATTCAAAGCTGAAAACTGCTGCTCACAAGCATAAGATGATCCAAACAAAGTTAGGAAAGCAATCCCAAGTGCTTTCATTGACTTAAAATTATTTGGCAGAGAATTCCACACACTGTGCTGTCCTTTGTCATCCTTGTTTTCACAGGATTGCTCTCAATAAGAGCAAAGCGCACTTTGGCTCCATTTTCGCCAGAAACGGATTTGGGAAATGGCTTTTTCCTGCGAAAACTTAGACAAAGAGCGAGGCGAGCATGCCCACAGAGAGGGCTCTGAGTGCCCCCTCTGACATGCATGCCATAGGTTCGCCACCATTGAACTATGTCATTCATTCAAAGCTTGGCGTCATTTAAAGAGACCCTGACGCATCTCTTCATACAATATTAGTAAACTATCTTGAAATTCTTATATGAAAACTCTAGGTTGGCTTCCAAGGCCACACAAATTCTACGGTTAACCTGCAATGATGTTAAGCCTCAGCTTTTCATCTGTAGCATAAGAAAAACTGATGTCTGAATTTGGAATTTGCTCCCATTTAGCTCCCATCTGTTTACCTGCCAAATACCAGAGCATAGACAACAACATCAGATTAATGACACAGAGCAAATTACTGTGATTTATGCTCTTCCAATGTCCTTATCACATCTCTTCTCATAGTCTGGACATGCTAGTCTGTTGAATCTAGTCTACTATTCTCATCTACTCAGCTGCAGTATGTATAATTAAACATGGTCCAGCTGTGATACCTGCACATGTAGAAAGTTGAGAAGACTGCTGGAAACTCTATTCAAATAAACATATGCACAAAACCTCCAGCAGCAGATGGAAGCAAAAGCTAATGGCAGCTCTTGGAGAACCTGGGTAATGCTAAGTAAGATTCAGCCTGCAAAATCTCCCAGTTTGTAATAATTTCAACCAGGAAGAATCCACACTCTTTTGTGTGATCTCATTCAATGGGATTTGAAGCATTGGATTCTAGTGAGAACTGAAGGCCAAGCTATTCTGTATTGGAAAGAGCCAGCATAAGGAGGATTCAGTTTTTTAATTTTAGCAGGGACTAGATACATCTTCAGCCGCAATTTCCCACAGCCACTTGCAGGCCCATTTTTCTCCCAAAGACTCCAAAGCCTTGTCTCAGAAATTCAGGAGTGCAGGGGGCTCTTGTCATGGGTTTTGAAGTCAGAAAAGTAACCTATGACCTCAGAGGTAGGAGACATCTATAAATTAGTCATAATTTTTTGGCGATTAGAACAAGTAGATGGATGTATCTGGGTAGAATATTTACTAAGGATGAAAAAAAAGATATAGTTAGTTTAGCTGAATAGGAGGTTATTGTGTAGCATGTAGTCTGTTTAGAGGATCATACATTTATTAAAATAAGCAGAAAGATTTGTATGGAAGAGTGTTTCTGTTCACTTTAATACATGGAAATTAATCTCAGTGCAGCAAGAACGCTATCCTGAAGTACCTCTGTTAACAATTTCACGATGGGATAAGATCAGAAATCCATGAGTGACAGTAGGCATGTGGTTGAATGCACCAGTGAGTGACCTTTACAAAGTGCACTGCGGAATTTGTTCATTTAAAGATAGTGAATGAGAATCAAACTGCAAAATCTATGAAGGAAGTGTACGTGAATAGGGAGCTTGCAGATACACACAACAATTATAATTCCTGTTGATTTTAATTGGTTAATGGGCTTAAAATCCATTAAAATCCATCAAACTTGAATGGTTTATACTGGAATCAAAAGAGTTGAGGGATGGAAACATTAATCATTTGGATGTGACCTAAGATGGTTAGAACAAGGGTTTGGAGGAGCAAACAGAGACAAAAAAGTTAAGCAATCCCATACTACTGCAAAAACTGCCTAAAGTTTGCCCAGTTGAATGCTCCCATTAGTCAATGGTCCTTCATGGAGAAAAGTATGGTATGATATATTTTTAACATGGGCTTGTTTCCCATACACATTTCTCTAGAATTAAATTTGTGTGCATACTTGTGTGTGAAAGAAGAAAGGGTGCACTTGACATACTCCTAAGAAAAAATAAAACAATAACCTCTTTTAGAAGGTATACAACGAGGAAATGCTTTGTCATTTATGACTGGATATAGAATTCTTATCCCAAAAAATTTTTACCAGAAAATTAAACAATGGAATTAGAAGATTTAATGAGTTGAAAGAAATTGTTTTGTGATTCTTTGGGGATATATATAAAGGAGAGATAAGGCAAAAGCAGAATCATCTTGTAGATGAGATGGATGGTATTAAGTCCTCTAGTTAATGGCGAAAGAAGAGCACGCATTCTGTAGCCAACAACTGTTTATTCTTCTGCTCACCCCAACACAACTCTGAGGCTCGCAGGCCTCTCTCTCATTAAATAGAATCCCCAAGCAAAAAGGTTACAAAAGAAAATGGTGCACTTTCGCGCCTTGCGCATGCACGCAGGCTGGTGCTGCTTAGTCTGGTCCCGGGCAGCTTGCAACAGTCCGGGACCATAGCAATGGTCCCGGGCTGTTGCAACAACAACACCCCTTCCCCCCAGATAAAACTTACTGTGTGTGTGTGTGTGTGTGTGTGTGTGTGTGTAGGTCTTTGGTTATTCGGGTTTTCTCCCACGTAGAATTGGAAGTGTCTTGGTGACATTTCGACAAAGTCCTATTCGTCATCTTCAGGCTGGTGTTTTCAGCTTCGTGCTCCTCGAAGCACGAAGCTGAAAACATCAGCCTGAAGATGACAAATGGGACTTCATCGAAACGTCGCCAAGACACTTCCAATTTTACGCAGGAGAAAACCCAAATAACCAAAGACCTACATATATACTAGGTCTGAAGGGACATGGTATTCTTTTTTTTTTATTATTTTTATTTTTTTTATTGAAAGTTTTATAAATTTTACAAAAAGACAAAAACAATACAAAACAAAAGACAACATATACAAAAAAGAAACTAAACATTACATATATAAAAAAAAAAAAACCCCATCCCCCACCCCTCACAAAAACCCTCCCTTCCCCCCCCCTGAGCTTCCCAGAGCAGAATATAGGCTTAATTAAAAATTAAAAAATAAAAATAAAAAATTAAATTAAAAAATTTATATTTATATATATATATATATATAAAATATCTATATATATATATAAAAATAAAACTTATAAAAAAGCTATATGATATTTTTGTATACCCAATCTAAATTGTATAAATTTTATCCATTTGTCCCAAACAGCAAGGAACTTCTCTTGCGTTTGTTGCTTTAAGAAGGCCGAAATCTTTGCCATTTCCGCCAGATAAGCTACTTTAAGAAACCATTCCTGCAATGTAGGCAAAGATTCCTTCTTCCAATATTGTCCTACTAACAGCCTAGCGGCTGTAATCAAATTTAACATCAATACAACCTCCTTTGTATCACAATCTGTAACAATGCCTAACAAAAATAATTGCGGAGTAAATTTTACCCTCCTTCTAAAAATTCTCTGGATATTCCACCATATTTTGATCCAAAATGCTTTTATCTCTCTACATGACCACCAAATATGATAATAGGAAGCATCCTTATAACCACATCTCCAACATTTGGGTTGCACGTCAGGGTACATAAGAGACATTTTTTGTGGATCAAGGTGCCATCTATAAAACATTTTATAAAAATTCTCCCTAAGGTTCTGTGCTTGTGTAAATTTGACATTTCTCACCCAAATGGTTTCCCAGATGTCCAATGAGACTGGGACACCAAAATTCTGCGCCCATCTAATCATACAATCTTTAATTAATTCCGTTTCTGAATCCATTTCAACTAATACCCCATAAATTCTCTTGATATGGGTTTGTCTTTGATCCTTGACTTGCTTAATAAGATTTCCATCTTCTCTAAGAAAACCCAATTTACAATCCACCTTCCATTTATCTACTAGTTGCCTATATTGAAACCAAGAATAAATAATATTTTCTTGCGCTAAATCTTCCCGTATTCTTAACTGCCAGTTTTGCCCATCCCATCTAAGTAACTGACTATAAGACACCATGTCCATTTTTACTCCTCTTCTTATTCCTTCTATCGCATGCCAAGGTATAGCCCATAATGGAACTTTAAAATCACTTTTATAATATTTTCTCCAAATCCTAAGGAAAGAAATTCTTAAAATATGAGATTTAAAGACCCAGTCCATTTTTTTATTAAATATTAAATAGGCATGCCACCCATAAAGTAAATCCCATCCCTCTAAATGAAGTATCTCAGGATTTGTCAAATTTACCCAATCACTGATTAGTGTTAAGACCACCGCATCGTAATATAATTTCAAATTTGGTACCTTAAGTCCACCCCTCTCACGGAAGTCTTGCATAATTTTAAACTTAACC